TCCCCCCTCCCCTCCCCTCCCCTCCCCTCCCCTCCCATCCCCTCCCATCTTCTCTCTCTACCCCATCTCCTGTAATTCATTTCTCCCCCTTTTTTTTTCCCTTTCCCCTCACTTCCTCTTATATGTAATTTTGTATAACAATGAGGGTCTCCTTCCATTTCAATGCAGTTTCCCTTCTCTCTCCCTTTCCCTCCCACCTCTTGTCCCTGTTTAATGTAAATCTTCTCATTCTCTTCCTCCCTGCTCTGTTCTTAGTTCTCTCTCCTTATATCAAAGAAGACATTTGGCATTTGTGTTTTAGGGATTGGCTAGCTTCACTTAGCATAATCTGCTCTAATGCCATCCATTTCCCTGCAAATTCCATGATTTTGTCATTTTTTAGTGCAGAGTAATACTCCATTGTGTATAAATGCCACATTTTTTTTTATCCATTCATCTATTGAAGGGCATCTAGGTTGGTTCCACAGTCTAGCTATTGTGAATTGTGCTGCTATGAACAGCAGCAGTATCCCTATAGTACGCTCTTTTAAGGTCTTTAGGGAATAGTCCAAGAAGGGGAATAGCTGGGTCAAATGGTGGTTCCATTCCCAGCTTTCCCAGGAATCTCCATATTGCTTTCCAAATTGGCCGCACCAATTTGCAGTCCCACCAGCATTTTTGGAAGAGGCTCAGTTGTCTCGACTTTCAGACTTTCTACTGGAGATGGAATTAATGTTATCTGAGGCTTCACCAAAAATCCTGAACATGCTCAGAGGGAATAGCATTTCATATCATTTTCTCTGGTCAATTGTCTTCCACTCATTGTCTTTGAAAGACAATTATTTCTTCTGTGTCTTGGTAATTCAAAAGGAAAGAACTTTTAAAGCTTTAGATTATAAGCTACATTTATGGTTTTAGTGGCAGGGTTATAAGTAGTAGCAACTTCATCTCTAATTGGCCAGTGATTAGCATTTTGTGACCCATGTACCAGCCTAGTATTTTGCAATAAACCTTTTTTTTAATATGTATTTTTTCATTGTAGTTGGGCACGATACCTTTGTTTTATTTATTTATTTTTATGTTGTGCTTAGCTGAACCACAACCCCAGCCCCTGCAGTAAACTTTTAATGATAGAGTCGAGGCTGAAAGTAGAAAACTTTGTAAATACAAGTTTGTCTGGAGGACCTACTATTGTCTCATTTTTTCTCCCTTGCTAAGGTGCTAATGGATATTCAAGATAATAAGTGAAACAACATGGTAATTAGTGCAATAGTTAGGAATTTTCCTATCCTCTCCATCCTAGGCAATTTACTTAGCCTCTCTAGGATTGTTTCCTTCTTTCTCTTTCTCCCTTTCCCCCCTTTCTCTTTTCAGGACTGGGGATTGAACTTGTACATGGTAGGTAGGCACTGTAGAACTGAGCTATATCCCCAGCTCTTTTTTACATTTTTATTTTGAGACAGGGTCTTGCTAAGGTAGCCCAGGCTATCTTCAAACTTGCAATCCTCCCGCCTCAGCCTCCCGAATCTCTGGGATTACAGCAACATACCACTGCACATAGCTGTTTTCTTTTGAAAGGATAATAATAGTATACTCGTGGGGCTATGAAATTCTAGTGCAGTAATCCATTTAATGTACCAGTATGCACTCAGCAAATATTAACTACTGTCTTGGTAATTTTGACTTCTCACTAGAGTGTTTATAAATTAAGATTGGTCTCAAGTTTTTAAAGCTGAAGAAAGTAGTTTCCAGATAGTATCTGGCCTGCTACCTCTTTTCATTCTGGCTATTTATTTTCAATTGTTATAGGAACAGTATTCTTTGGGCTGCCTTTATCCACCTCTTAACCAGAGGGATAAAACCAATCAGCATTCATTGTCATGATGGCTATCTTTCTGTGTTTGTCATGCTCTACTTCTCTAGAGGTGAAAAAGACAACATTCTACTTTTTAAAAGATTGTTAACATTAATAAACTTAATTCCTTTAGACAAGGAGTTTAGACTTGAAGGGTATAAACAGTTATATTGAGTTAATTTAAATTTAGACACAATTATGAAATCGAATGTTACTTTACTGCTACTTTAAATTCTTTGTTGACTAGGTACAGAATAAAATAAATGAACAAATAAATAGTATTGATCTGTGAGTTAAGATGAGTAGAATTAAACAGCAATTGGATAAATTTTTCTCTAATAAAAAAGGAAGGCCTCATGTGGAGGGCTGATTAAGAAGTATATGGTACTCAAGATGGGGCAAGAGTGGATGGAGGATGGATGGGAACAAGACACAGCGGTAGCATAAAAGAAGGTATAGGCTGGAACACTTATCACTCATAAATATTCACCAAGCTCCTATTACAAGGCAGGCGCACTGTGCATGCTGCTGTACAGTAATCCCTGCTACATGTCCACATACCTCAGCTCATTTTAAATACTTTTTAAAATGAGCTGAGGTATGTGGACATCTAGCAAGAAATAGCTGTGGAGTGGATAACCATCATTCAGTGGTCTCTCTGTGTTTATCAGCAAGATAATTATCATTGTTGAAAGAGAAAGATACAGAATGAGGTTAAAAGTACAGTGGTAGTCTGTGTCAAATAAAGATTTATGTCAAATTATTGTGAGTAGCGTTTTAAAATTGAAATCCTTTTATTTTCATTTATTTAAGTCATCAATTGGCTGGAGGAATGTTACACGGCTACTGGTATTTTCCACGGATGCTGGATTTCACTTTGCTGGAGATGGGAAACTTGGTGGCATTGTTTTACCAAATGATGGACAATGTCACCTAGAAAATAATGTGTACACAATGAGCCATTATTATGTAAGTGCTCAAGTTTTTACAAGGTGAATGAATTTATGTTGAGTTTTAGTGTTTATAGTGTTCAGTATTGTGGGTGACTGGCTTGTGGGTTTTTCAGCCTTTGGAATAGTGTTTTTTAGGTAAGTATGGGTCCTACCCTGGAGTCCAGGCAAACTAGTGTTGCTGTTGGTGAAGATGTAGTGCTGTGTTTACTTCCTTGCATGTAGGCAAGGACCTCATTGGGTAAAAGGAGACATAAGAGACTACTTGGACTCTTGTCTGAATCCATACCCATCTCCTCTCATTTGCCAACAACTTATGGTAGCAAAATTAATATTGTTCCAAAATAATTTATCACTGAGCTACATTCCCATTCCTTTTTTTTTTTTTTTAAATATTTATTTATTTATTTAGTTTTCGGCGGACACAACATCTTTGTTTGTATGTGGTGCTGAGGATCGAACCCGGGCTGCACGCATGCCAGGCGAGCGCGCTACCACTTGAGCCACATCCCCAGCCCTCCTTTTTATATTTTATGTTGAAACAACAGGATCTTGCTAAGTTGCCTAGCCTGACATTAAACTTCAATTGATCCTCCTGCCTCAGCTTCCCGAGTAGCTGGGATTATAGGCGTGTATCACTAGCCCAGCTAGCTTTACTTTCATTTTCTTCCTTTATATGATTTTTAAAAACAGGCAAATTGTCTTTATTGAAAATAAAGATGGGTAAATTACTCAAGATTCAAAAGAAATTTAAATGTTGGTGACTCTTGATCTTAAGTGATAGATGATAGAATCTTTTATTTAATTGTCCTTATAGTTAATGAACATAGATTATCTTACTATTTAAGACATTTTAATATGAAAATTAAAAAAAAATTTAGTTGTAGATTAACACAATATCTTTATTTTGTTAATTTTTTTATGTGGTGCTGAAGATTGAACCTAGTGCCTCCATACACTAGGCGAGTGCTCTACCACTGAGCCACAACCCCAGCCCTAATATGAAAATTCTTATATAAACAAAAAGTAGAATGAAGATTAGAAACCCACATTTACATATAACCCACCTCAGCAATTATATGCATTTGATACTCTTATTTGAAAGTACTTTTGTGTAAGCAGTTATATATGCAAATAATTATTATTTTCAAAAAGTATTAAAAAATGGAACATATTGGAATATTAAATTTTGTTATTAATTTCTTAGGATTATCCCTCTATTGCTCACCTTGTCCAGAAACTCAGTGAAAATAATATTCAGACGATTTTTGCAGTGACTGAAGAATTTCAGCCCGTTTACAAGGTAAATATGTGTGAGATAGAAAAAAGTTCTAGACTTTTTTCTCTTTCATTTGTTTAATCATTAGAGGCAAAATTATATTTGAATTGAAATGTGTGGACTAGTCCACTGATAGGTGGACTAATTTTACAGAGATTTATATTAATTTTTAATTACATATTATGAAACAATTGTCTTTTCCTCAAGTTTGATTCCTAAAATTGTTTACGACATTTGTAGGGAACTAATATTTCTTCATTTAATTTTTTTAGATACACATGACAGTAGAGTGTATTCTGACATATTTTACATAGGTGAAATATAACATTCTAATTAGGATTCCATTCTTGTAGGGAACTGATATTTAAAGATAACTGTTACTTGCTCAATGGACTCTAATTGTTTAAATGAATAATATTTGTATTTTACCTGTTTTATTTCTTAATTTCAGGAACTGAAAAATTTGATCCCTAAGTCAGCAGTTGGGACATTGTCTGCAAATTCTAGCAATGTGATACAGTTGATCATTGATGCTTACAATGTGAGTACATTAAGTAGATTAAATTTGAACAAAATCCTACTGAGAATACTTGGCTCAAAGAAAGTAAAACTTCCTTTATGAACAATTTAGCAAGCCAGTAAGTCAACAAAAAAATTTATATTCTATATCTGAAAGAAAATTTTTATATTATCGTATCAGAACATGGCCTAAGTCAAGAAAAAATATGATAAAGGCATGTGGGGAAATTTTTGAGTATATGTTTGTATGTCATTAAGCAGTAGATGTATGTGTTGGTGAGCAAGTATAACTCACATTTAAATTTACAGGTTGCCCCTAATCTTTTTCTTCCCCAAAGTATCCTTTATAGATTCATCTATTTTGATGAACTGTGCTGGAAAATTTTATTACCATTTCTCCTCTTGTCTCATATATTCAGAGGATATATTTTTCTATTTTCAATAGGTACACACACTCACACATTTATATATACAGCTATATATATGCACACATGACATAAAATACATAAAAATGTAAATATATATGTGACTTGCTTAAAAAGATTTATAGGATTGTTCTTGCCTCACTTGGGAGTTGATACTAAAGACAAATTGTTTTTCCCTTTTAGATCTTAGTTCACTACTGAGCATTTGTTAGTAATCATTTAAAATAATCTGAAGGCTTTTATAATACTTTGTAATATTGTGCATTGCATTTAATTCCACATATTCCTCCATAACCCTCTGGTAGGTTGAATTTTAGATATTTTTTACATTGTGCAATGGGTATTCCCAAATGTTTTGGAAAGAACTATCTGAGAAAGTTTTTGCAGATTTTCAAGATTCTAGTCATTCTATGTCTTCCCCATAGTTGGTCTCTCTCTGTCTAAACAGAACATTTTCCTAGTTCCTAGTTTAGTAGTGATATGAGCAGGAGGTAGCTTGCCACTGCAACCTCCTTCATTTGCTCTGAGAGCTGATATTTTAAATAAAGATTGACTTGAATTCACCTCAGGACCTCAGGATCTCACACATGCTAGGCAAGCACTCTGCCACTGTGCTGTATGATCATTAATATTTTAACTGAAAAATTAAAACAAATGCCCTTTTCAATTGTGTATATTAGTTTGAAGATTGGACCCTTTATTAATTAGAACCTGTTTCTCTAGGTTCTATGTTTTCTAGTCATTTGGATTTGGTTTCAAAATACTTTACTGAAATGACATTTTTAGCTGGGCATGGTAGCGTGCATCTGTAATCAGGAGGTTGAGGGAGGAGGATTGTCAGTCCAAAGTCAGCCTCAGTACTTAGTGAGGCCCTAAAGCAACTCAGTGAGACCCTGTCTCTAAATAAAATGCAAGAGGCTAGGGAATGTGGCTCAGTGGTTAAGTGTTCCTGGGTTCAATCCCCAATACCAAAAAAAAAAAAAAAAAGATTTTTTTTTTTCTTTTTAACAATTCATCTTATATGCATTCAACTAGCATTTTATTTGACTTCCCTATTTATACTTCATCTTTCTTTTAGTCCCTTTCCTCAGAAGTCATTTTGGAAAACAGCAAGTTGCCAGAAGGAGTAACAATAAATTACAAATCCTATTGCAAGAACGGAGTGAATGGAACTGGGGAAAATGGGCGAAAATGTTCTAATATTTCCATTGGAGATGAGGTATTTTCTAAAAATGTTTTCTATATAAAAGAAAAAAATTACTTGTTTATAGAAAAGCAAATTTACTTTCTAATTTGAGAGAAATCAAATCAGTGATTTTTTTTAAATACTTGTGATATTCATTGCTAATTTGCTAACTTAATCTAGTTTTTCTTCCCTCAAGGTTCAATTTGAAATTAGCATAACTGCAAATAAATGTCCAAATAAGAAATCTGAGACCATTAAAATTAAGCCTCTGGGCTTCACTGAGGAAGTGGAGATTATTCTTGAGTTCATCTGTAAATGTGAATGCCAAAGTGAAGGCATCCCTGAAAGTCCAAAGTGTCATGAAGGAAATGGAACATTTGAGTGTGGAGCTTGTAGGTAAGCTGGGAGTTGTCGAGTGATAGTTATATGGATTTAGAAAGTTATAGGCAGGCTGTATTTTGGGATACCATAGAAAATCTCTGTTTGGAACAAAAATGAATTATTTGTTCCAACCACTGTTCATAACTAAAGGATCATTTTGATGGCCTTTTGTGCTGGTTTTTGAAGAGTACTCATAAGTTACTACTAAATCGAAGTGCTAAAATGAATGCTTTCATAGCTCTGCAAGAAGTTACCCAATACACTGTTAAGGTAGTATTTGGATTTTTCTCTTATGATAGCATTTGCACTTTTCTAGAGCAAAAAAAGCCTACGTAAAATATCTTTTAGAAAAACATACCAAACTGATAATGGTGATTTTTTATCTAAGAAGGAAGATTAGGGGGCATTGAAGGATGTTTACCCAGAAAATGATATTTTTAGAATACAGAATCTACCAACTTAAATTATATAAACATTTTCATAATGTGGTTACCTTTTTAAATTTAAATATAAAGCTGAATGTACTGAGGATACCTTTCTCCTTAAAAGAACAGGAGAATAAGATATTTTGATTTAAATGTCAGCCTTAGATGACTATGCTTAGAAGAGTTATTGGTCATGAGGAAAATACATGGCTATAATTCACCATCAATTTTCTTTTTTTCCTTCAGTACTGGAGATTGAACCCAGAGGTGCTCTACTATTAAAATAGATCCCACCCTTTTTTATTTTTAATTTTAAGATAGGGTCTTGCTAAGTTGCCCAAACTGGCCTCAAATTTGTGATCCTCCTACCTAAGCCCTCTAAGTTGCTGGGATTATAGATGTGCACCACTGTGCATGGCTTACCATCAATTAATTGCCTGTTCTAAATAACAATGTGAATGTTATAGTTTTATTTTCATGTTGTACATTTCCTGCTTGAGTCATGAAGATCTATTTTTAATAAAATCTCATTTAACCAAAAAGTTTACCTTGAAAATTCTTTGCATAATGTATTCTCACCTGATATATTGGTAGTTTGAAAGGCTTGTTCATAGTTTTGTTTTCTCTCTCATGAATTGTTATTTCAAGTTATTTTTATTCTGATTGCAATTTTGAACTCTTCTTCAGGTGCAACGAGGGACGTGTTGGTAGACATTGTGAATGTAGTACAGATGAAGTTAACAGTGAGGACATGGATGCATACTGCAGGAAAGAAAACAGTTCAGAAATCTGTAGTAACAATGGAGAGTGCGTCTGTGGACAGTGTGTTTGTAGGAAGAGGGATAATACAAATGAAATTTATTCTGGCAAATTCTGCGAGTGTGATAATTTCAACTGTGATAGATCCAATGGCTTAATTTGTGGAGGTGAGAAAAGCACCTAAAATAGTTATAAAATATGACCCCTCCAACATGGTAAAACATCTTAGGACTTTACATGTTCAGTAATTAGAAAAGGGTGGCATTCAGGGTCAGTCCATCACTTAGATACACTTTGTTCTCTGCTTATTTTTAAATAAATGCTGTGGTTTTGTATTTTTACCACTATTTTGAGAAATGATATTTTTAATTGCAGGCAATGGTGTTTGCAGGTGTCGTGTGTGTGAATGCTACCCCAACTACACTGGCAGTGCGTGTGACTGTTCTTTGGATACTGCGCCATGTATGGCCGTAAATGGACAGATCTGCAATGGCCGGGGCATCTGTGAGTGTGGTGTCTGTAAATGTACAGATCCAAAGTTTCAAGGGCAAACTTGTGAGACATGTCAGACCTGCCTTGGCGTCTGTGCTGAGCATAAGTAAGTATTTTCTAATTCTTGATATAGTTAACATTTACTTTCTGCTGATCTAAATATGTATTGTCATTATCCATAGAACTATAACAGGTGCCAATATGTTATAAATGAAATGTTGACTGCAAAGAAACCAACTTTTTTCTTAAAGATTCTTTCTTAATAGGCAGTGTGTATTGCATGATATTGAAGTGTATGTCACATGAGAGCTGCATTATTACTTTGATCTGAATTTATTCTATAATTGAATTTGTGTGGTTACCTTTGTTAAATTAGCATTACTATCTTTTTGTTGTTCTGTTTCTGGGAGTGAAACTATAGCCTTGTGTGTGCTAGGCACGTGCTCTACCTCTAAGCTATACTCCTGAGTCCAATTACTGTTTGTTAACTCTGTAAAATTAAAGTTTTTTTCTTTTGCAGGATTCTTATAATAATAGTAGTAAATTGTTTAAATTAAGGTGTGTGTGTATACACACACACACACACACACACATTATGTGATAGGGTTAACTTTATTACCTGTATTTCAACTTAAACTCTTATGAAATTATAATTGATTTGGAAAGCTAGCATTTTTTTAATTTGATGAGTTTTATAAAAAATAGCTTTAATGAGATATAACTGACATACAAAAACTTGACATATTTAAAGTATAGAATTTGACAAAACTTTTTTTTTGTTTTGTTTTTAACTAACATCTGTTTTTGACCATCAGTAAGAAATTACTTGTTTTAAAATACCAGATGCTGGCATTGTTCAGCAAAGTCTGTTTGGGTTATTTATAATTGTTATAAAATTGAACTGCTAACATTTGTTCATTGAAACATTTTGAACTGCATTAATGCTTTACATCCCTGCATTTATATTAAAAATCCATACATGAATGACAATGAGAAAACTTGTAATTACTTGATTTCTGTCCCTTAGTTTTCCACTCACAGGCATATACTTGGTTACTTTTTGACCCCATGGGGTGAAAAGTCTTACATTCATTACTACCAACAACAGGGAGAAGAGAAAATATTTGGTCATTTTGATAATGAAATGCTTCTCATCTTAAGTGTATTTTTAAGCACGTTTTCCATGTATGCCACGTGCTAGATGGATGTCTTTTGGCATAATTGTTACATATTTGACATGAATAGCACACAACTTGATATCGTTGTAAAAAGGCTAACCAGATAGGCCTCACTTGCCTCCTGCAAAGCCCCAGATCTGTTTTGAAGTCCTGAACAATTTCTCTCACCAGTCACAGGAAGTGGGAAGTTTTTGAATCAGTACAGTGGGCTTCTGATAGTGCCTGGCCTCTAACAGTGAGTTTTCTTCACTCCTACAGTAATGGGTACAATCCTGCAAGCAACTTTTATAACCAGGTGCTTCCTGGGTGCTTAGCCACTACTTGGTTTGCTGATAGGTTTGCTAGCAATTGGCTTTTTATAAGCCACGTAATACACGTTTCTTTCCTACTCTGTTCTCCTTCAACTGGGACTTGGAGAGCCAGAGGTGGTGCTAGGGTTAGCCACTGACAGCAGTGGGGTCATAGCTGCTTGAAACTAGCATTTCTTTTATTAATTTACCATTCAAATCCTTCTTCATTATTTTTGGTTGAATTTGGACACAGAAAATAATCTTTAAGGAAAATTTATCTTAATACTACATTTTAAATTTAACAATTTATATTTTAAACAGAGAATGTGTTCAGTGCAGAGCATTCAACAAAGGAGAAAAGAAAGACAGATGTGCACAAGAATGTTCACATTTCAACCTGACCAAGGTAGAAAGTCGGGACAAATTACCCCAGCCAGTACAGGTTGATCCCCTGTCCCACTGTAAGGAGAAGGATGTTGATGACTGCTGGTTCTACTTCACATATTCAGTGAATGGTAACAACGAAGCCATTGTTCATGTTGTGGAGACTCCAGGTAAAAAATCTCTTAATGTCAAAAATTCTTTTCATTTTCTTTTATCCCTTACTTTTCAGGCCTGTTGTAAGGTTTCCTAAGACCCAGAAACAGCCTTCAGCAGCTCTATTATTTCAGGTTCAATTGGGAAATTTTCCTTTTCGCAAATTTTAAAATTTAACTAAGAAATAAGGAGAAGAGAAGTCAAGTTTTAAGTTTTCTGAGGGGAGTGTTTAAAGATGAAATGGCAATAATCAGAATGTGGAACCATGCCTGACAGGAGGTACTCAGTAAGAATGTTGTCACAGGTGATATTTAAATTTGAGCTTGACTGAACCTTGGATAGTGTGAAATATAATTTGTTAAAATATATTATTAAGTGTTGAACTTGCTCACCTTCTCAGAAGATGAAGCTTTTTTTTTTTTTAATCTTTGTTTTTCTTGTAGCCTTTTTGGTAGATTCTTTGGAATATTCTACAGCAGTATACAGGTTTTTGTGTGAACATATTTTGGAAGATACGATAAACATGTTTAACTTTATAGGAAACTGCCAAACTCTTTAAGTTTCAGTGCTATTTTATATTATCAGGTGGGGTGTTTGGCAGATTTTGTTTCCTAGTCTACCTTCTTGTCTTCTCATTTTCTTAGCATTGTCTTTTGGATATCAGAAGTTTTATTTATTTTGTGTATTTTGGAGGATAGAACTCAAACTCACTAGGCAAGCTACTCTACTACTCTTAGCCCTGGAAGTTTTGACAAAATACAGTTTACCAAGTTTTTAATTTTTAAAAAAAATTTTTTTTTTTTTTGGTTGTAGATGGACACAATACCTTTATTTCATTTGTTTATTTTTATGTGGTGCTGGGGATTGAACCCAGCATCTTGCACATGCCAGGCAAGCACTCTACCACTGAGTCACAACTCTGGCCCCCATGTTTTCTTTTATTGACCTTGATTTTACTATTGTATCTAAGAATTCTTTTGCATAACCCAAGATTTTAAAGGGTTTTCTCCTGTGATTTCTTCTAGATATTTGATAACTTATGGTTTTACATGAAGGCCTATAACCCATTTTCAGTTAATTTTAGTATATAGAGTAAGAGACAGCTTTTTGAATGATTGTCTAGGTCCTGCATCTTTTGTTGAAGATTGTCCTTTCTCCAGTTATGTTGAAAATTTGGTGAACTTAATGTGTGTAGGTGGGTTTCTGACTCTCTTCTCTATTCTCTTCCATTAATCTATGTGTCGGTCCTTTAGCTGTACTAGACTGTCTCATAGCTTTATGATTAGTCTCTTTTTTTCCATTTAAATTCATTTCTTAACTGATACATAAAATATAAAAATGTCTTTAAGTGGGGTAAACATGGAATGTTTGGGGTACATATATTCATTTTGTAATGTTTAAATTCAGTTCAACATATCTACTCAAATATTTATCATTTCTTTATAGTGTAAACTTTGAATATATGTTCTTGTAGCTTTTTAAAAAACACAGGTCATTGTTGTCTGTAGCTGTGCGATAGTATACCAAAACTTCTTGTTCTTACTACACTGTAAGTTAATACACATTCTACTCTCCACTTTGATGATCTCAACTTTTTTAGATTTTTACATATGTGTGAGATCATGTTAATAGGGCACAGACAGATGCAAATGATGGGAACACAGGTTAAGGGAATTTCTATTAAATGGGCCCACTGTGCTGACCCCTACATGCTTTCTTTTTTAAGAATCAATTTACCTGCATCCATGACTGACTTAAGTGGACAGGATATGTCACATTCCTCTATTTCCTTCAGGAGAAATGCAGGCCTGAAATGTCAATAAAAGAAACCCAAGTAACTCTGAAGGGGGAGACTTTTGTGGCCCTTTTTCACAGACCAAATCCTGAAACTCAGGGATAAGGATAATTCCTCTTTACCAAAAAATCTGTAAGAATTTATGGTTAAGAATATTATTAGAAAAAGAAGGAAAAGAAAAAAGGAATGATGTTAAAAAAAAAAAAAAAGAATACAATTAGAACCCATCAGCATGGTCCAAAGTGACCTAGAGTTGTCTTGGCAGTGGGGAATTGAAGGTCTGAAGTCGTCCTGCTATTAGTCAAAAGTCTAGAGGTAGACCTGGGTGGGACTATGGGACCTTCTCTGGGATTCCCAATAAAACTGGCGTGCAGGAGAGGCAACTCTCCCTTTCCTCTCTGAGAGGAAGCACTCTCTTCCTTAAGAGTGTTTCCTTTTCCTTTCCCTTTAAAAAACTAAACTCATGGCTGTTAGTCTGAGTGACATGTCTGAAACCTTTCTGACTTGATGGCAAGAATTCGGGGTTTAGTGGCAGGGTTGGGGGTGTGTTCGTGCTATCTCAATTTCCTGGAAGGCCCAAACCCTGTAACAGTGTGATACGTGTATTTCTGTACATGGCTTATTTGATTTAACATAATAAACTTAACTTCCATTTATATTGTTGCAAATGACAAAATTTCATTCTTCTTCATGGCTGAATAGTATTCTGTTTGTGCATATGTATCACACTTTCTTTATGCACTCATCTATTGATAGATATTTAGGTTGTTTCCATTTCTTGACTGTTGTGAATAGTGCTGCAATAAAAATGAGAGTGCAGATATCTTTACCTTACTGATTTTATTTCCTTTGAGTATTTACTGAAGAATGGGGTTGTTGGAATGTTGTTGGAATGGTTGTTAGTAGTTCTGTCTTTAATTTTTGAGAAACCTCCATATTGTTTTCCATAATTATTGTACTAATTTAAATTCCTACCAACAGGTTCAAGGGTTGTCATTTTTCCATATCCTTGCCAGCACTTTGTATCTTTTAATAGTAGCTGTCCTTACTGGATTGGAATGATAATCCTATTGTGGTTTGATTTGTATTACTGTGATGACTGGTGATATTAAACATTTTTTCATATACTTGTTGTGCCATTTTTATGTCTTCTATTGAGAAATGTCTGTTTAGATCTATTGCTCATTTTTAAATTGGTGTGTGTCTTTTTTGCTATTTATTTTTTCAGTTGCTTTTATGTTCTGGATATTGATTCCTTGTCAGGTGTATAATTTGCAAACATTCTTTTTCCATTCTCTAGATTGTCTCTGAATGTTAAAGATTGTCTCCTTTCCTGTGCAGAAGTTTGATATAGTCTTATTTGTCAGTTTTTGCTTCTGTTTCCTATGCTTTTGGAATAAAAATCTTTGCCCATTCTAATGTCCAGAAGCATTTCCCTTCTGTTTTCTTCAAGAAGTTTCACTTTGAGATCTTACATTTAAGTCTTTAACCCATTTTAAGGTGATTTTTGTCACTGGTCAAATATAGGGGTCTAGCTTCATTCTTCTGCATGTGGATATTCATTCAGTTTTTTCCAGAACAATTTTTTGAAAAGACTTTCCTTTCTGCAGTGTATGTTTTTAACATCTTTGTCAAAAATGACTTGGCATAGATGTGTGGGTTTACTTTTAGGCCCTCTATCCTGTTCCATTGGTCTGTCTATTTTTAAGCCAAATCTATTTTTCTGCCTTCCATGTAACTTTTAGAATTAGCTTGCTGAGTGATACCTATAAAAATCTTGCCAGAATTTTGATGAAATTGCACTGAGTTTATAGATCAAATGGGGGAGAATTAACATCTTGGCAGTATTAGATCTTCTAATTCATGAACATGGAATATCTCTTAATGTAGTCAGGTCTTCTCTGATTCTTTTATCATTATTTAGTAATTTTAATGTACAAATCTTGCACATATTTTATTAGAGTTATATGTAAGTTTTTGATGATTTTTGATGTTATTATAAGTGATTTTTAAAAAAATTTCAATTTCTTATAGAAATGAACATATGTGTTGAAAAATACATGACCTTTGATTATTAATCATGTCGTACCTTATAAACTACCTGTTTTGTCTTTTTTTTTTTAAGCTTTTGGGGGATAGCATCCATTCACTTACCTTGGCTTTTTTGCTGGGGACTGGGTACAGAAGATTGAACTCAGGGACACTTGATCACTGAGCCACATCCCCAGCCCTGGTTTGTATTTTATTTAGATACAGTCTCACTGAGTTGTGTAGAGCCTCACTTTTGCTGAGGCTGGCTTTGAACTCGCGATCCTTCTGCCTCAGCCTCCCAAGCTGCTGCAATTATAAGTGTAAGCCACTGTGCTCGGCATCTTGGGTTTTTAGTCCTATTTACTTTATAAGATACTGCCCAGCTCTTTGTGGTCATGATTGGAATTTGAACATTTTAGTCCCTGTATGCTCATTATTAACCTTCTGATTTTCCAGACTGTCCCACTGGTCCAGACATCATTCCAATTGTAGCTGGTGTGGTTGCTGGAATTGTTCTCATTGGCCTTGCATTACTGCTGATTTGGAAGCTTTTAATGATAATTCATGACAGAAGGGAATTTGCTAAATTCGAAAAGGAGAAAATGAATGCCAAGTGGGACACGGTAAGTTGTAAAACATCTAAAAAGTAAAATAAATGTAACAGTATTTTATTAACTGAAAGACTGATTATTAAAGTCTTCTTTAAATATTTCATTTTCCCAAAAGTTCATTATTCAGAGAGGATTTACATTTAGTGAAAAACAGAAGGTATTGTAAATATGTCCCTTTGAAACAAAACATTATAATAATATGTTTTAATTACAGAGGCCAGTATTTTTAGTTCTTTAATAGTTTTGATCCTAAGTTTGCTCTTTTGCTTTGTCTAATGAAAAACAGAATCCTCAATAATGCTGTCTGTGCAGTAAGCTATTCAGTGGAACCATTCATACACTGTCTCTTTTTGTGGTACTGGGAATTGAACCCAGGGGCACTGTATCATTGAACTATATCCCCTGCCCTTTTTGTTTTTCATTTTGAGATAGGCCATCCCTAAGTTGCTGTTGCTGGCCTCAAATTTGCAGTCTTTCTGCCTCAGCCTCCCAAGTTACTGGGATTATAGGTGTGTGCCACTGTGCCTGTCTACCACCACCCTCTTTTTTAAACAAAGAACATGAAGCAGAGAGCAGCCAGATTCAAAAGACTATCAATATCGATTCTGTTTATATGACATTCTGGAAAAGACACATTTATAGGGGCAGAGATCATAATAGTAATTGCTGGCGGTTAGAGTTGAGGGAAAGGTTGACCAGATCATTTTGGGATGATCTTGATTATAGGTGTTTATGCATTTGAAAACTCATGGAACTCTGCCTGAAAAAAGTATAATTTATATAAAGTAAATCTCGATAGACCTTGCTTCATGAGAAAATTTAAAAACTACAGATGACTGAAAATTTTTGCTTAACATTTAGTGCTTTTGGATAAAGAATCAGAGGGTGGGGTGGCTAAATGATCAGCCCTCATATATTCCTCTTTTTACACAAGAAGGTAATGACAATCTTAAGTATTTTTAAATTATAAATGAATTTTAGTCATTTGAATTTTACTACAATTTGCTTTTTTTAAAAAATATGAATTTCAGAGGGGTAGAAATAGTAAAAATTCTCTTTTGTAGTGTCATTTTCTGGTGAAGTCATTAGAAACTATTTCTTTTACTTTAGCAAGAAAATCCGATTTACAAGAGTCCTATTAATAATTTCAAGAATCCAAACTATGGACGTAAAGCTGGTCTCTAAGTTGCCGTTCGTATTTCCTTTCACTTTCTGTCTTTGCATGTGAACATTTATTTTTTATTTATTTTTTTAATTTTTATTTATTTATTTTTTTTACTGCACCGTGTGTCCTTTTTCACCATTGCTATTCTTTTTAATTCTGGCTTTTTTATATGGCTATCTTCTGGCTTTTCATTTTGTGTGTTAACATCATTTAGAAGGATTTTAAAATAAACTGTATGGTACAGAAGCAATGACTATGTCATAGTGAAAAGAAAATGTTCTTTCCAATCAGATGGACCTAGGTTCAATCCCAGCTCTTCCACTTAGTAAGTAGAAGAGCACTGAGTCACTTCACCACACAGAGATTCAATTTCTCATATTTGTAGTAAGGGATGGGTAATATCTATTAATTGGGGTGGTGGTTCTTGGCAAATGATCTTCATTATAGTCGTATGCCTTTGGTGGTTTTATCTTGAAATAACAAATTACTGTGTGTAACTTTTAGGGTTGAGTAGTGAAAATTGAATGTAAAGTCCAAATTATAAAATAGGAAGATCAAGATAAAATGGAATAATTTTTTTATGTGGTTTACATCTACAGTACCATTATTGAGTCCAGAAATATTTTGAGATTCTTTGGGTTTTGATCATAACTTGAAATTCCAATAAGAGTCATAAGATTATGTATGTGTATTTCTCTTTAGTTATTAAATAAGTCAAAATTTCTAACATTCAATACTAAGATTGAATATTTTTATAACAAATATTTTAGAAAAATCTTTTTACGTTTTTAAATAAAAACTATTGAAAAATTTACAGTTGTAATAAGACTTATCCTGTTCTCCATACCTGGGGGACTTGTTTTGGTGAGTTTATGTTTTATAGATGACATGGTTTTTTGGTTTGTTCTGTTTTTTTTATCATTTTCTCTTATATCAGCAGTGGGTAGAATTCTTCTTTATACAGACTGTTCATATATGGATTTTTATGAAATGCTTCCAGCCTTATTTAATATAATTGTGTAAGCCCTAAAACTCTCTAATAAAAAAGTTAATTGAGTTTAGAACCAAATTCTCCTGATAATTCAGAATGCTTTTTTCACCAGTTGAATGTAATACAGCCTGGAAGAATTTAGTTTTTCTCACTTCCTACTTTGTTGTATAGGTAATGATGGTGTTGGTAATAATTTTAGTAATAATAGAAAATACATGATAATCCTTATGTCTCAGACACACTTTTCAATACTTACTCTATATTTATTTACTAGTGAAAACAGTAGGAACTATTTTTATGTCTGTTTCACACATGAGGAAACTGGGGCATAGAAGGGTTAGGTAACTTGACCAAGTTCACAAGTTAATGGGAGAACTGAGATCCAAACCCGGGTAGCTGGACTCCAGGTCCTAGTTCTAGTCCTCTATGTGGTACTGGTTAGCAGCCACTTATCTACGGAAAACTATGTTATCTGATTAGGAAGAGGTAGATCACTATAAAGAATTATAGCTTTGTGATGATTGTAAATCAGGGTAACTCTGTGCTATGGCAAAAGTAATAGGAAAATTACTTAGTTACATGGAATCCATTCACTATAGCTTATTTGCTCTGTTGAGAATATATATATATATATTTTTTTTTTGGTACTGGGAATTGAACCCTAGGTCACATTACCAATGTTTAACTATTTTTCTGGCATGTTGGAACTTCAATAATACTAGGGATCATGACTTGTTGGATTTTGGGGATTTTTTCCTAAGCAAATTATATTTAAATTTAATTTTGTTTGCAGAAAATTATAGTCAAATTCATATGTGGGAAAATTGGTACATTTTTGTGTTAGTCTGAGACATGATACTTTTTTTTTTTAATTTATAGTTCAAAAAAGTCATATATTGACCATTTCATGTGTTTTTTTAATCACATTGAGAAACAATTTCTACTTGTATTAGTAAGATGAAATTTTCACCCTTACTATAAATGTTTAATTTTACCTCAAAATAAATTAGCAACATATAATTTTTATTTATACCTAATGTTTTATTGTTTACTTAATTTCTTAGCTGTAATGTTCAACGTTTTAACCAAAATTAGCATTTCACATAATGTAAGAAGTGAATGTTTGATAAAAATTTCTGTATGTACTGGTGAATTCCAGGCAAATTTATAGCTAGAGAATATCCTGAGGTGTTTTCTATAAAAAAAATTAAAGTAGAAATTCATAATAGAAATTATTAAATAAGCATTGAGAAATTAAAACAAATCATAGATTGTAACACACTTTTCTGGTATGGGACAGAGGTTTACAGGTCAACTAATTTACATTATTAGCAGGCACTGTAATTATTTTAGCATGACTACCATGTTGGAGCATTAGGAAAAAACCATTAAGTTATCAACTTATAACCATTAAAGTGGGTTAAAAAATTAGTTTAGCTTCCTCTGCTGTTTTGCAGATTTAAATGTGGATTCCGTATCTCACATAGTTATGCACTGCATGCCTAATGTATTATGGAAAGGATTTTGCAGCCCCACTGCCATTCCAGAGAACAAGGAAGAGTTTTTAACTGAGTACAGATGACCTTATTTCAGAATATAGCCCTGTTCTCTAGTTATAAAATAAGCTTTGATTTTTTGCAAGGCGGGGTTGCATTCTGAATGATGGACACTAATCTGAATTACTTTAGTTCACCTCCATTTAAATTGATGCCTAATACAGATAGTGAATTTAATTTTACCTCTAACCTTGCATGTTAAATTTTTGTTTGGATGGGCTTTGAAATAGTATAATAAAAATGTTTGTACATACAGCAAAGCAAACTTTTCTCCAAAGGTAAGTTCCTCCATATAAATTATGCTTTGGATTAATTAATAATAGGTTTTTAAAATTTTTTTTGTTCTTATAATTCTAAAATAAAAATATTAGTTATGTCTAATTTATTGTTTTTATAAAAACCTAAGTGAATGGTAATTTATCATCACGACTTAAAAAAAAAAAAAGGCAGTACTAGCCTCACATGCAGATGGAGGGATGGAAATAATAAGTCTAACTTGTTTGTACTCTAAAACTTCCTAAGAAGATAGTTGCTAGAATCCTGTTCCCTGACCCCTATTCGAAATATCTCCTTTGATGTCAGTATAATAATGTATAATCTCCAGTTGGGATTGGATTAGATAGTAGAATTTGAGATTTTGTATGATTCTAGACTACAGGTCATATTTTCCTGAGGGATCTTGATTGGGAAATAACTAATTAAGTTGCATTTTAAGGAGTATTAGGTGAGGGCTAAGGTGTAAGGTCTTGTTCTAATTGGCATTTATGCTACTTGCTGAGCTGAAATCACAGTAGTTTATTTGAAGTCACAGAACCCAGCCTCTGAATGCTCTCCTTTTGTCTTGTCTCCTGTTCTATGCCACCCCACACTCATACTTAAAACTTTTGAATTATATATGTGTTTCTGTGTATATTTGCCATTGTTTCCCTGTACCTTGACTTTGCATGTATTTGTTTATTTTTCAGTAATTTATTTGTAGTTGATTTCACTATGAAAGGAGTCCTAATCATAGATAAAGTTAACTCTTTTCTAATACTATTCCCATATTACATACATAATTCTATTTTGTACTGTATCAGAGTGTGATATTTTTCTTAACTGTCATTCACAAAACTATAACCCCTGGAGGGCAGAAACTTGGTTGTATGCTATTTTTTTGCTTAAAACATCATTGTCAGTATATTTTTGGATCTTGAAAGATCTCTTATATTTATAGCTTGGAGTCTCTTGCTGGACTTGCAGTATTTTTTACTAATGTATAGTACTGTAGTAAAACGTCACCAAAATAAAAATTTCATGAAGAATGATAATTAACATTTTAAGCAAATTGGCAATGTGACTTGGAGGAGTACCCTCAGTGACACCAACATCCTTATTCAGACCTCTAAATCAATAACTTGCTTTTTTTTCGTTTTGTTTTGTTTTGTTGTTTTTTTGGTAGTGCTGGGGGTTGAACCCAGGGCTTCCTGCTTAGGAGACACTCTACCACTGAGTCACAAGCCCTCAGTCATTAACTTTTGTAGAAGGAACTCATCAAACAGTGAAGAAGCCAAGGAATACCATTTTGATAAGCACTTTCTGTGTATAATAAGGGTATAAGAGTCAGAGTTAATTCTTCTATGACGTGGGCATTAAAAACTTGTTCAAAGGAGAGAATCCACCATGATAGCAGTATAGTTTCTGCTATGGAGGACATTGTTAACTCAACCCTCCAACAGAGGAAGGACTCAGGAAAGGAATTATGCCAGATAACAGAGATATCATTAGACTTGCACAGCAGTTTCATTTTTCATCTTTAGAAGCAATTATTAATAATGCCTTCTAAAAAATTGTGATAGCTGAACAAATAAAACAGAAATTACTTTTTAAGATGACTTTAACTCTTAATCTTGTTTTATAAAATAATACTATCTAGTTTTAGCAAAGTGATAATTTTACTCACTTTTTTCTTCTCTTCTTTTTAGGGTGAAAATCCTATTTATAAGAGTGCCGTGACAACTGTGGTCAATCCAAAATACGAGGGAAAATGAGTATTACCTGTGCAAATTTCACAACACTGAATACAAAGTAGCAATTTTCATAGTCACAGTAAGGTAGCTTTAGGGCACTATTGCCATGGTTTTATTCATGTGCAGGTTTTGAAAATGTACAATATGTATAATTTTAATTTTTTTATTATTTTTAAAATAATGTTATAATCCATGCCAGGGACTGACAAAACACTTGAGACAGGATCAGTATCCTTGTCAGCTAAGGTCACATTGTGCCTTTTTTGACCTTTTCTTCCTGGACTATTGAAATCAAGCTCTCATTGGATTAAGCGATATTCCTGGGGTGATTGAAAGGGCATAAAGTAAGGAGCATGATTAGAATTTTTGTTAATCACGTATTAAAACTGATATTTAGCTTTATAGATATGTCAGTTTTCAGTTATACAGAATCCAAAGGAAATGTCCTGCTAGCTAGTTTAGGATTGTTTTTAAATCTTATTTTGCTGTTTGCCTGTTAGACATGACTGATGACATATCTGAAAGACAAGTATGTTGAGAGTTTCTGGTGTGAAACAGTTTTGAACAGTTGATCTCCAAAGGCCATGGGGAAAATTCAGAGTTAGGAAGGAAAAACAAATAGCTTTAAAACCTGTGTGCCATTTTAAGAGTTACTTAATCTTGGTAACTTTTATGCCTTTATAAATTCAAGCCTTCTATAAAAGTGCTGGGAAATTTTCTGCTGAAGAGGCCTTGATTTAGCACTATTTACTTAAAGGCCATGATTTACATAGTATATGCTGAATGGGGACCTTTTGGATTGAGTTTATTTTATTTTGTTATTTTTATTTTGTTTAATTCCTGGTGCTTTTTATCACCTCTTCTAATCTTTTAGTGTATTTGTTTGCAATTTGGGGGTAAAACTTTTTTTTTTTTTAATCAATACGTTTTCTTTAAAGTTTTAGCTGTAAATTTGCCTTTTTCATGATTGTGTGATGTTGTACTGTGGTTTTCGCGACAGCAGTCACTTTGAACAAGTCTTACTTTCGGTTGGTGTCCTAACAGACCACTGTGTATTTACTTCTCACTGCTTGCATTGCTCCTCTTTGTTTCATACTAGTCACATTCTTGTTTTAAGTGCCTTTTAATTTTAACAGTTCACTTTTTACAATGCTATTTACTGAAGTTATTTATTAAATAAAAATGCCTAAAATACTTAAATTGTATGTTTTGGTGCTATATTGATCTACCTTATTAGTTTGTGTGCACAAAATTTTTCTCAATTAAAGAAGTTGAGGAAAAGCATTCCTGGTTTGTTGGTATTCCACTTGAGAAACGAAAGCAGTTCTTTTTTGGGGGAGTGGGGTGAAATATAGACTTAGATCCTTGTCTCCCTGTATTGGGAGATCTTTATGAACATCATCTTAGAGCTGTTACTAGAAACTGGAAATTCTCTAATTTTAATTTTAGAGATGGGATCATAATCATAAGATAAACAAGGGAAATTTTTATTTATTATTTTGGTCTTGGTTTATTTTTATGTAAAAGTATATATTCATAAAAAATACTTGTGAAAGCCAGGCACAGTGGCTGATGCCTAATCCCAGAGACTCAGGAGGCTGAGGCATAAGGATTGCAAGTTTGAGGCCAGCTTCAGCATCTTGCTGAGGCTTTGTTTCAAAATAAAAAAATAAAAGGACAGGGAATGTAGCTCAGTGATAAAATGTTCCTGGGTTCAATCCCTAGTACAAACAAACTAAACTAAAAACTTGTGTTTATTAAAAGAAATATGTATTTCTTTCTTGAGCATACAACAGATGTCAGAATGATTTAGGGGGGAAAGATTGTGTTATAGGTTTCTACCCATGCATCATTATTAATTGATTTTAAAAAAAATATTTCATTTAGATGTGTTTTCTAGTTTTGACTAAAGTATCTTTGAGGTGAGGAAAATCATACATTTTTACAAATTCCTAAGATCCATGAAAAAAAATTATCCTGTTCATCAAACATATCTCATGCCTCAGAATTCTTCTAAAAATTCAAGGATTGTTAAAAGTAGCTTTTGAGTGAAAAGTGGGAATACATATCCAAACTGGATGAAATAAGGCTCTACCACTGTGAGGGTAGTATCTCATCTGAACTGATGGGGTGCAAAAATGCCAGGAAAAGGCATGCAGCAAATATAACTCAGTTAAATCCCCAGACTTAAAATTCTATGAAAATTTTAAGGACATAAAGTTAACAAAAAGTCACTCTTCATTCATTTAATTTTATTTGACTTTCTACATATTCTGGGTTTATGGTCTTATTAGGCCTAATTCTAAAACGTAGTGACATAACAAAAACTAAGTTAATTTATTTGTATAAAATTGCTATTCAAAAGATTTCAATTTCATAATTTAATGCATTACTTCTTTACAACTTTATTGTAAGTTTATAGAAAACAGTTGTATTCAGTTTTATGGGTAAAAGGCAACATGTTTTCACACATTGATAATATTAGTGTTGCTTAATGACTAAAACTATTCATGAGACAGAGATCGGTATTCAGGTCTCCTGCAATTGCCAGCTGACTGGCCCCTAGGCAGCATTTTAAATGTAAACTTGATCAAATTTTTAAACACCCCCATTCGAGTCTGACTTTCAGATCCTTAAGACTTGCACACATTCTTTGTATTTGAACTTTGTTTTATCCTTAGATTTGATAGTCTATTGGGATAGGAACCTGTGTGTTTTCATTCACCATTGTGTCCTAAGAACAATGTCTAGCACAGAGTGCTTGTTGAATAGATGGATCTGCTTTTTCCCACCATATTTACCTATCAGTGATATACTCTGCCTTGCTGCCAGTTCCTGTAGATGGAACTCTGTCCTGCACTTGGATTCTAGGTGCCCTCCCCTCTTACCTGCTCAGGGAGGCAGTTCAGTTCTCTCTTGTGTCATCAATTTCCCCCTCTTCTGGATCATCCCTGTCAGAAACAAACATGCTATAGTTACCATTTCTGTTTTCCCTTTCTCTTATACAACTCAAGAGTAATCTAACCCATATATCTCTGGCCACTTGATTATGGAATTCACCCATTAAAAACAATTAAAAAATGAAGTTGAATCCCTAGCTCTCACTGTAATATAACAACTAATTAAAAATGGAGCAAAGACCTAAATATAAGAGCTAAAACAATAAGATTTTTTGAAGAAAATATATCTTCATGCTGTGGATTTGGCAGAAGGTTTGTAGACATGACAACAAAAACAGGAGTAATGATATAAGCTTTTGTGTATCAAAGACATGTCAAAAGACTTGTAAACCTGCAGAATGAGAGAAATATTTGCCCAAAATATGTATCTGTGCCTTTTAGTCACAGTAATGGAAAAGCTAATGTGACACATAAGTCTTTAACAATTTAAACATGCTGATTGCATAGTTCTATGTTTCCATGTAGGTCTATGAAAAATGAGTAGGTAAAATATGTCACTTTAGGGGCTGGGGTTGTGGCTCAGTGGTTGAGCACTTGCCTAGCATGTGCGAGGCCCTAGGTTCTATCCTCAATACCACATAAAAATAAATAAATAAAATAAAGGTATTGTGTCCAACTTCACTTGAAAAAACAGATATTAAAAAAAATATGTCACTTTAAGTGAATATACATAGTGCTATAAAAGTGTATGCTTTAATCATATGCAGTTTCTTTTATTCAAGTTCTCCAAATATATTTAAAAGTAAAAAAATTAAGATGCCACCTACACAAGGCAAGAGGCTGTTGGACCCCAGGCAATTCTGTAGGTATTGATTGTATATCTTATTCTTATATTCATTCTGTACCTACATTAAAAATATAATTATGGTACGATATAACAGTCTGCTTCTGGATATATATCCAAGGGAATGAAATTAGTATTAATACTCATCATAGCCAAAGAATGGAAGCAGCCTAAGTGTTCATCAGTAAATGACTAGATAAAGAAAATTTAAACAGATCAATTTCAAGCAGTGAAACTGGAGAAGCCATCAAAAGCCTACCAATCAAGAAAAGCCCAGGACCAGACAGATTCTTGACTGAGTTCTATCAAGGAAGAATTAAGACCAATACTCCTCAAATTATTCCATGAAATAGAAAAGGAGGGAACCCTTCCAAACTTATTTTATGAGGTTAGTATCACCCTGATACCTAAGTCAGACAAAGACACATCAAGGAAAGAAAACTGCAGATGAATATCCCTGATGAACATAGATGCTAAAATTCTCAATAAAATTCTTGTCAAATCACATACAAAAGCATATTGAAAAGATAGTGTACCACAGTCAATTGGGATTCATCCCAGGGATACAAGATTGGTTCAACATATGGAAACCAATAAACATACTTCATTGCACCAATTCACTTAAAGACAAGAATCATATAATCATCTCAATAGGTGCAGAAAAAGCATTTCACAAAATACAGCACCCCGTCATGTACAAAACATTAGAAAAACTAGGGATAATAGGAACATAATTCAACACTGTGAAAGCTATATATGCTAAATCCAAGGTCAATCTCATTCTAAATGGAGAAAACTTGAAAGCATTCCCTCTAAAAACTGGAACAAGGATGTTCTCTTTCACTTCTATTCAACATCATCCTTGAAATTCTAGCCAGAACAATTAGAAAGAAATAAAAGGGATACAAATAGGATACAAATAGAAGAACTGTCACTATCTGCTGATGACATAATTCTATATTTAGAAGACACAAAAAATTCCACCAGAAAACTTATAGAACTAATAAATGAATTCAGCATAGTAGCATGATATAAAATCAACACTCATAAATCAAACACATTCATCAGTGATGAATCCAGTGAAAGAAAAATAAGGAAAACTATCTCAATCACAGTAGCCTCGAAAAAGATAAAATACTTGGGAATCAATTTAACAAAAGAAATGAAAGACCTCTACAATGAAAACTACACAACACTAAAGAAAGAAATTAAAGCAGACCTTAGAAGATGGAAAGATCTCCCATGCTCATGGATAGGCAGAATTTACATTGTCAAAACGGCCATACTACCAAAAGCTGTAAACAGATTTACTGCAATTCCTACTAAAATCCCAATGACATTGTTCATAGAACCAGAAAAAAGAAATCATGAAATTCATTTGGAAAAATAAGTGACCCAGAATAGCCAAAGCAATCCTTAGCAAGAAGAGTGAAGCAGGAAACATAACTATAACAGACCTTAAACTATACTACAGAGCCATAGTAACAAAAACACCATGGTACTGGCACTAAAATAGACATGTAGACCAGTGTGGTACAGAATAGAAGACACAGAGACAGACCCACAAAAATACAGTAATCTCATTCTAAAGGCGCCAAAAACATTTATTGGAGAAAAGATAGCCTGTTCAACAAATGGTTCTGGGAAAACTGGAAATTCATATGTAGCGAAATAAAGTTAAACTCCCATCTCTTACTCTGCAAGAAACTCAATTCAAAGTGGATCAAAGGCTTAGGCACTAGAACAGAGACCCTGTGCCTAATAGAAGAAAAAGTAGGCCCAAATCTTCACCATGTTGGTTTCCTTAACAAGACTCCCAATGCACAAGAAGTAAAATCAAGAATGAATAAATGGGATGAATTCAAACTAAAAACCTCCTTCTCAGCCAAGAAAATAATCAATATCATGAAGAGGGAGCCTACAGAATCGGAGAAAATCTTTACCACATGAACTTCAGAGTATTAATCTCTAGGATACATAAAGAACTCAAAAAATTCAACACCAAAAAAAAAAAAAAAAAATAAAAAATTAAATGGCTGAGGACCTGAACAGACACTTCACAGAAGAAGAAATACAATCAACAAATATTTGAAAAATATTTGCAATCAAAGAAATGCAAATCAAAACTATACTGAAATTCCATCTCACTCCAGTCAGAATGGCAATCATCAAGAATACAAGCAACAAATGGTGAGGATGTGGGGGGAAAAGGCACACTCATACATTGCTGATGGGACTGCAAATTGGTGTCACCATTATAGAAAGTAGTATGGAGATTCCTCAGAAAACTTGAAATAGAACCACCATTTGACCCAGTCATCTCACTCCTAAGTTTATACTCAAAGGATTTAAAATTAACATACTAGAGTCACACAGTGAGATCAATGTTTATAGCAGCTCAATTCACAATAGCCAAACTATGGAACCAACCTAGATGCCCTCCAACATATGAATGGATAAA